ATTATTTGCTACCCCATGGTAGCAAATCTGGGTTTGTGCATGGGCATTGTGCAGCCGCCGTCTGTTACGTACCCGAGAACAGGCTGTTTTCTCGGAAAAGAGATATAGCTCACAGTCTATTCAAGGACACGGGGCTAGCACTTCCCTCTACTGAGGGGCCTTCTCTGTGTCACCTGCTGGATGACGCCAAGGGAGGCTCACTAGCGAAAGGAAAAGAACACTTGGAGACCAAGTAGTTCACCCACCCTTCCTCCCTTTCTCCCTTCCTCCCTTCCTCCCTTCCTCCCTTTCTCCCTTTGAAGTAATAAGGGCGGCGGGGCTGCGTCCCCAGCACCCCGGCCGCCTGCTCGGCTAGCTTATGCCCCGAAATAACAACACACAAACTGTATTCATTTAAACACTGCTTGGCCCATTCTCTTCTAGGCTAAGTCTCACATATTAATTTAGCCCATTTCTAATCATCTGTGTATGGCACCCCAAGGTGCGCTTACCAGGAGAGATTCTAGCCTAGTCCATCCTGGGTCAGAGCTTCATCCCGGGAGAGGGGCATGGCGTCTCTCTCAGGCGTCTGCTCCCCAGAGGAGAGCTGTCGAGTCTCTGACCTCACTTCCTCTTCCTCCCAGCGTTCTGATCTGTTTACTCCACCTACCTATGTCCTAACCAATAAAATGGGCCAAGGCAGTTCCTTTATTAGCCAATGACCTTCCTCCATCATTTCCCCTTTTTCGGTTTAAACAAAAAAAAAGCTTTAACTTTAACATAGCAAAATTACATATAACACCATCAAAGACTCCAGAAAGATATAATATTACCTAAGTAAACAAGAAGTCCAAAATTCTAGAAATGACAGAGACATCTCGCTGCCTGTACAGTCACCCAAAGTTCTTTTGTACCGTTGGGGCATCAATCTTCAGCCTTCAGGCCCATGGTATCCAGCAGACATTTCCATGAAGCAGGAAAATTCAAAGTCTGTTCAGTCACTATCTGTTGTATCCTGCAGAATGTCTTGCAGACTCCTTCACGAATCAGGAACCCCAAAAGATCATCTCACCTTTAGGCAAGTTCAGTAGTCCTCTCTCTGCGGGTTCTCTGTGTCTAGTTTATGCAATAGTCCAGGCAAGAGCAGTTTCTTGCCCAAATGGCTATCAAAACTCCATAACGAGCCTCTTCGATGCCCATCTTCCTCTTGAAGTAGATTGGTGCTGCCAGGAGCAGAGTGTCTCATTGTTATGAAAAGTCCTCAGTTATTAAAACATTAAATGTCCTATTCTGTAATCTTTGAAAGACATGAAGAATGTCTATCTAAAATATATCACTATATATCTAGAAAATCTAACTAACATGACTACAAGCTTTACTATTATCGATGATTATCCATTAACAACCTATATTTCTTAATTATACAGTACATATTTAAATGAACTACACAATCACAATACCTTAATCAAAATCAGAAACACTTATACATATAACAAAATTGACCATAAATCTCTATCAATAAAGCAAAATCTATACTAATGCAAATTATTCATATCTATATCATATCCCCCTTTAAATGTACAAGAACATTTATAAACATTTTTTGGGAATATGGGCGTAGTTATTTCTCTCCAAACTGCTTCCTGCTGAATGGGGGCGTCGTTAATTAGGTCTTTCATGGTATAACCTGTGTGCTAGTTTCATCTCAGTTGGCAGTTGAGCGAAGCAATTTTTTGAAGGCGTTCACACCAACCCTTCAGGAGGGCGTGGTCCATCATACCAAATCGGAATAGAAGAAATGAACAGCGTCTCATCCTCTGTGAAAACAAAATAAGAAACTCCTTTCCAAAGCATCATGTCCTTAGATCCAAATTTCAAAGTCAAGGCATCAAAATATCTATGTCGGATTAGTTCAGCAGCATTTATAAATAAATATCTTTTAGCAGCTGTTGCTCCTTCCTCAGCATTCAAACAATTCAAAGGGAGCATAATAGCATACAGTATCAAGATTCTCTGTGTATTTTCCATCTTTGTACAGCTTTGTTTTAACCTCTATTTCGTTTATTTTTACTTTTAACTCTTTGCTTTTTGAGACAGGTTCTCTGTATCTTTGACCTGAAGTAACTCTGTAGACCAGGCTGTCTTTGAACTCTCAGAGATCTGCCTGTCTCTGCCTCCCAGGCATTCGGGATTAAAGGTGTACACTACTACACCTTGAACTCACAGAGGTCTGTTTGTCTCTGCCTTGTAGGCACTGGGATTAAAGGCGTGTGCTACCACACACAACAATTTTCTTCCTTTTTTTGTTTTTTACTTTAAGAACTTCAACTTTTAGTCTGCATATATTTTTAACACACTTCAAACCATTTAGAAATTTTCTTTGTCTTTGAATCTCTCTTTACTGTATATCTTTTTCTGACCACACGAGCCTTTAAATTACTGAGCAATATGGGTAGGATTAAAGGCGTGGCTTTGCCGGCTGGATCCAGCCCATTCCTTAGCTTTCCAGCCTCATGGCTGAGGTACTGGCTGTAGCCAGCAAGCGAGCTTCAGCAGCCTGTGCTTGCAAACCACACAAACCGCCTGCATAAAAGAGTCAGAGTTTGTCCTGGCAGGACAGCCCAGAAAGCCGGCATTTTTAAACAGCGCAGCTTTTTTCCTGCTATGGCTGAAAACCGAAAAGCATGCGTTCAGCTTTTTGTCAACACCATTTAAGTGTTTTGGGGCAGGACCTCTTAATGAGCTGCAGGCTTTGTAGCTAAAGCTGAGTCAGGAAGCCTCTCTTAGATGAGGCGCTTGCTTGCCTCTAGCAAGCAGAGTAGAACCGAGAAATTGCTGCTACCAAGAAACCAGGCACAATGCTTTCATTTTGTTCTAGAATTACTTCCCAAGCTGTCTCAGGCTTTATGTGGAAGCAGTTGTCCACGTGGGCGCCATCCCTTCCTCCCTTTCTCCCTTTCTCCCTTTCTCCCTTCCTCCCTTCCTCCCTTCCTCCCTCCCTCCCTTCCTCCCTTTCTCCCTTTCTCCCTTTCTCCCTTCCTCCCTTCCTCCCTTCCTCCCTCCCTCCCTCCCTCCCTCCCTCCTTCCCTTTCTTCTTTCCTATTCTCTCTCCCCTCGCTCTCAGCTGACTGCAAACTCAGCCTTAGCTCCCTAGGAGGACTGTCCCTTTCATTTGTTTGTTTTTGGTTTTTTGGGGGGGGGGGTAAGAGGGGTGTTTTCAAAACAGGGTTTCTCTGTGTAGCTCTATCTCTCCTGGAACTCACTTTGTAGACCAGGCTGGCTTTGAACTCAGAGATCTACCAGCCTCAAGTTTCCTGAGTGCTGGGATTAAAGGCGTGTGCTACCACCACCATCTAGGACTGTCCCTTCTTAACACCCTGCCCTCAAGACCAATCCTTCCCCTCATGATCTAACCGTCTCTCATTAGGCTCCACCTCTTCGGAGACTCCTCCCACCTCAGCTCATGTGGGGGACAGATTCAGATTATAGCATGAAAGTGCTAGCATAGTCAATCTCTAGATGAACCGATGTGTGTTCACTGTGGAGCCCAGTTGTGGACGGGTGTTCCTATCCTGCAGACTGGAGTGGCAGCAAACATGCAGCGAGTTCCCCTGCATAGCTGTGTCCCCGTGCTGTGAAGAACGGGTGGAGAGCATGCAGGCTTATGACGTAGTTTAATATATCGGCAGCATCAAAGATTTTAGTATCCAGTGAAGATTCCCTTTTCAGACGTTATGGCTTTAGGCCCCTGGAGTATTTCACTGAGTCAGGTGTTAGTGTCTTGTCTACAGGACCCTCCTGCGGGGAGTCTCCCAGTTTACCCTGCTCTTATCACCCTTTCTTCTGCAGTACTCTACAGTTCACCTCACCCAAGTCTGTAAGTTTGCGTGCATCGCTGCCATTAATAGATGGACACTTGGCATTGCTTTGTAAGCAATGAATATATCCTTTTCATTCAGTAACATTACAAAGTAGGCTTTGGCAGGGCGGTGGTGGCGCAATCTATAATGCAAGCACTGGGGAGGCAGAGACAGGCAGATCTCTGTGAGTTTGAGACCAGCCTGGTCTACAGAGTGAGTTCCAGGACAGCCAGGGATATACAGAGAACTTCTCCCCACCCCCAAAGGTGCGCTTTTAGAAAAGGTGTCTTCTATGCAGGAGAGCTGAGACAGAAGGATTGCTGTTTTGAGCACAGACACTGCTGCACAGTAAAATACTGCCCGTCCCCAACGTTGCTGTTGCTTTTGTTTATGAGAGCGGGTTTCACGGTAGATAACCCTAGACCAGACTGGAGCTTGTGATCCTCCTGCCCATGGCTTCTGAGGTTATAGGCTGCCATCCCCGCTCTAAATATTGATTTGTTTTTCTGTGTATTTATGAGTACTTGCTTGCGCGCGCACATGTGTGTGTGTGTGTGTGTGTGCGCGCGCGCGCTATCTGCTTCCCTGGTGTAGGTGGCTGTGAGCATTGAACCCTGGCCACCTGCAAGGACATTGCCCACTCCATTCCTACAGCTCCTCATTTGTTTGTGGGCACACACGTGGGGTCAGAGGGTAACTTCCAGAGTTCATTCTCTCCTTCCACTTTTTGTGCTTCAGGGATCAAATGAGGTTGCCAGGTTAGGCAGCAAGCCCCTTCACTCCCTGCACCACCTTGCCTCCCTGACCACCCTTTCCTAACAAATCCACTAACATTGCTCGCTGAGTGTATAGTGACTACGTTTTTGCTAAGCTCCTGGTTAGAAGTCTGTCAGTGCACTGTTGATGCAGGTACAGCTGCTGCCTGCACACGCAAGGTCCTGAGCTGCACCTGTTATTACTGCGAGGGGGATTGAGTGAGAAAAGGGACATCAGCAGGGCAATTCTCAGGAGACCACCGTGGCTTTAGAACGACTGTAGCACACCAAGACATCAGCACAGACTTTCTGAGGAGTCTGCAGTGGGATCCGCACACTGTCAGACTCCTTTTCTAAGGACCCACACTCAGAAGGGTCCTGTTCTCCTTGCTTTCAGCTTCTGGCTTTATTTTTTGGGTACATTGAAGAAGCGAGGTCTGATGTAGTCCTTATACATAGACTAGAGAACACCTGGAACAGAAAGGCATTACACATCAGTAGTGTCCACAAGACGCAGACGCTTTCCCACATGTTTCTCTGAAACCATAACACTTGTGAAATAAAGAGACAGGCAACCCCTCAGGTCCACACAGAGGCTGCAGAATCAGACAGCACCTACGTTTAAGTCAATATTGACACAGGTGTGCATGCGCACACACACAGACATTGACCTAGGTGTGCACGTGCACACACACAGACATTGACACAGGTGTGCATATGCACACACACGGACATTGACACAGGTGTACATATGTACACACACGGACATATTGACACAGGTGTGCATATGCACATACACGGACATATTGACACAGGTGTGCATATGCACACACACGGACATATTGACACAGGTGTGCATATGCACACACACGGACATATTGACACAGGTGTACATGTGCACACACACACAAAATAAATTCATAAAGATGCAAATTCTATAATTTCTTAACATTTAAAAACCAATATTGTTATGAACTTAGACTTTGACACTATCCCCAAGTTTGCATTTTTGTTGGTTTTTTTTGGAGATGGTTTTTCCATGCTGTCCTGGAACCCAATATATAAACCAGGCTGACTCTGAACTACAGAGATCCTCCTGAGTGTTGGGGTTAAAGGTGTGGGCCACTGTGGCTGGCTCGGTGATACGTGTCAGCAGTCCTAGCACTTGGTAAGCAGAGGCAAGAATAGCTCAGTGTCGTCTTTGGCTGCACAGTGGTTGGAGGCCAGCCTAAGGTACATGAAATTCTGTCTCACAAAGGAACAAAACAAAGCAAATCTTGAGAAACGCATTGATCAGATATTTGATCAGATCCAGGCATCCGAATTAACCAGTCACATGTTCAGTATCTGTCTGTGCTTAGCAGGTAAAGGAACACGTGACTGAACAGCCCCTGCTCTGGGATTATAGCCAGGGCAGGAATTAGCGCTGAGAAGCGGATGCTGGTTGTGGCTTCCACAAGGTCCTAGGACTGTGCTGAGGCTGGGGGGGGGGGGGGGGGGCACACAGGTAAAATAGGTTTAGAGGGAAAGGGGGTACCTCCATAAGCCCTTGACGTGTTAGTAAATCTCCAAATGTCCAAAAGCTAGAGGGGTCGGAAGACTCGGCCGAATTCTCATTGCCCCATGACTGCCCACTGGGCACAGAGGATAAGGGCTCTGAATTCTTGCAGTTCCACATGATAGTAAACTGGGGCACAAGCTGGAAAAATTATAGAGTGAAATATTAAAATGACTAGAATTGATGCATAGAATTCAAGCCCCAATGTTTTTCTCTTCAGCTGGAATACTGTAACTGAAGTGATGTTCTCAGGACGGAGAGGTCGCTAAGGATGTCTAGCCGCCACCACAAGCCCTGGGCTTGATCCCCACCACCACATACACCAGGCATGGTGGTACCCACTTGTAATCCTTGCACTCAGACAGCAGAGGCAGGAATGTTGTCAGAAGTTCAGTCAGCCTTGGCTACACAGGGTTTGAGGCCAGCACCGGATAGTGAGACTGTCTTGATATGTAGCAGATAAAACCTTTGGCTGGCAAAGAGTCCTGGACTCATTTCGTTTGTCTTGTTAGAGACAATTCCTGCTCTTACTACCCACTTCCCTAAGGTCACAGTATCTTTGTCTCAGCCCACAGACCTGTCGCTTCACTGGTGAACCGATTCTCTAAGCGAGACCTAAGAGCGTGATGCCTCATGTCTGCGACACACAGCTCCACATGCTAACAGTGACGCCCAAGCTTCTTAGTAGATTTAACTTTTGTTTGTGTGTTTGTGTGTGTGAGAGTAGGCATGAATACGCCCTAGCACATGAGTGGGGTCACTTCTGCTTTGAGACAGGGTGTCCCTGTTGTCAGGTCCTGTGTACACCAGACTAGCTGGCCAAGCAGCTCCCATCTCACCACAGGCACACTGGGGTTACAGATTGCACATTGTACCACTTTGTGTGAGTGCTGGGAATCTGAACTCACTTCTCACACTTAGGTAGCAAGCACTTAGCACTTTACTATCAAGCCATCCCCCTGCCTCTCCAAGCTTTTAAATTGTGTGTAAAGAAATACATTGAGGCCCGGTGGTGGTGGCGCACGCCTTTAATCCTAGCATTTGGGAGACAAAGGCAGGTGAATCCCTGTGAGTTCGAGGCCAGCCTGCTCTACAAGAGCTAGTTCCAGGCTAGCTAGGACTGTTACACAGGGAAACCCTGTCTCAAAAAAAAAAAAAAATCAAATAAATAAATAAAAGAAATACATTGAGCTGGATGGTGGCGCACGCCTTTAATTCTAGCACTTGGGAGGCAGAGGCAGGTGAATCACTGTGAGTTCAAGTCCAGCCTGGTCTACAGATCGAGTTCCAGGACAGGCTTCAAAGCTACAGAGACACCCTCTTGAAAAACAAATAAACAAACAAAAAAAAGAAAGAAAAAGAAATATATTGACTATGTCCTCCAAATGTGTCTTTTTTAAACAAGGTTTTGTGCTGCAGCCTAGACTCAGGCTGACCTCTAGCAGATAGCCTCCTGCCTTAGTTTCAATGCTGGTATTATAGGCATGTGTATGTATTTTTAAACAATAAATTTAATATAAGCAATGTACGTATTAGCAAAGCATTATTATTTTTTATTTTAGTCTGTTTCTTTTTGAGACAGGATCTGGCTGTCTTGCCCAGTGTGGCCTCTATTCCTGGACTCAAGGGGAAGGACGTGTAGGACCTTCTACATCTGGTTAGTTATTTTATTTTCAAGATACAGTATTTTCTTCCCATATCCCTAAGGACCCCTTTATGTACAGAATGGGAATTCTACAATTCAAAAGGTTTACTGGAGTCTCGGGCTAACCTTGAACATCTGATAAGCCTGCCTCCACCTACTGAGTGCTGGGATTACAGATCTACGCCACCATGATTTTTTTATGCCTTGTTTTGTTCAATTTCAGTGCCTCCTACATTCTCAGCAAGCACCCTACCACTGGGCTGTCTCCATAGCCGTGGAGACATTTTGAATGGGGATTTCAATGCGTGCACTGTAGTTTGAGACAAAGCGATTGTCCTGCGAAATACAGTGACACTTGGTTTACCGGCCCTGTACTGTAGTGGCTCGTACAGGGCAGGGTACCAGTGTGGGGATGCTGACGGATGCTGGCAAGACAGCTCAGGGGGTGAGGGCATCTGCCTCCCAAGCCCAGTGACCTCAGAAACCATGAAAGGTGGACAGAACCACTCCACAGAGCTGTGCTGAACACAGGCCTTGGTTCACATGTGCCGTATGCACGGCACACACAACAATGCCAAATTGTGGAAGAGTTCTGAAAGTTTCTGAGCATCCGTATATGCGTGTGTGTGTGTGTGTGTGTGTGTGTGTGAGAGAGAGAGAGAGAGAGAGAGAGAGAGAGAGAGAGAGAGAGAGAGAGAGAGAGAATTAGAGACAAACATGGTCGGGACAGGAAGCAGCAGGCTCTGGTGACACAGGCCCTCTACAAAGCACAGACATCTGCAGACTCTTACTTTGAGTGGCACTTCAGCGTGGTCCTGTCAGGGCAGGGGTCTGTCAGCGTCCAGCCAGTGTTCTACCCGCCCCAAACAATGTGACTTTCCTCCCTTTGGTGCACAGGCTTCCTGGTAAAGGGCTACATGTCTCTTTGGGGAAAGCTGGAGAGATGATTATAATACATTTATTTATACATAGATATGTCATACACATGGTATGTGTGTTTATATGTATATGTGTATATGTGTGTTTCTGTGTGTGTATAACATATGTATGTTGGGGGATATTGCAGTATCTTCCCCTAGCTCTCCACTTTAAGTTCAAGCCCAGCCTTTTCTGCTTCTGTGATGTCCCCACTTTCAGCTCTAGGGCCATTTTAACCTGGGCCCCCACTTTGAGCTCTAGGGCCACTGTACCCAGGGTCCCCACTGTAACCAGGCCCCCCATCTCTGGCTTAGCCTGTGCTGTTGCTGTACAGACTGCTGCTAATCACAATCAAGCATCCCTGGCCTTTGCTGATCAGATGCTGCCCATGGCCCCGTTAAGATCTAGATCTCTCAGTCCCCACTGAGTCCAGTGTTGTAATATGAGTGGCGGGGCTGCGTCCCCAGCACCCCGGCCGCCTGGCTAGCTTATGCCCCGAAATAATTACCCGGACACTGTATTCTTTTAAACACTGCTTGGCCTATTAACTCTAGCCCTTACAGGCTAATTCTCATATCCCGATCAACCCATCTCTAATAATCTGTGTGGCATCAGTCTTACCGGGAAAGATTCTAGCCTATGTCCATCCTGGGTCTGAGCTTCATCACGTGTGCCTCAGAGAGCAGAGCTCTCGCGTCCGCCCGGGAGAGGGGAGCATGGCATCTCTCTGCTCACTTCCTCTTCCTCCCAGCATTCTGTTCTGTTTACTCCTCCCACCTATGTTTTAACCTATCAGGGCCAAGCAGTTTCTTTATTGCTTAACCAATGAAATCAACAGATTGATATGTGACACTCCCACAGCAGTTCTTGGAATGAAAGCGCTATGGGGACTTGAGAAGGGAGCCAGGATGACGGATGGGTGGACTCGGAGTCAGGACAATCGGCTGGCTGCCTCGATGGCAGTTTTATAGGCTCAGTACTGCTGCCAGCCGAGGCTAGATCGCCTGCTCTGGATGCCCTGTACACGGCAGCCCGCCTGGCTGCAGCCCTTCCTTCTGCCCCTGCCTTCCACTCCCAGCAGGACAAACAAGAAGTGTCCCCATACATTAGCAGATTAGATTTTCCCGAGAGAACGCACTAGCTGTCGCTTCCTGAAAGCCAGGAACCTTTGGAGGCTCTTCATATCTGAACTGTGACACTTGGTAATAAGAGGGCCAAACAGTAAGCACTCCGAGGCTTCGTGTTTGCCACTTTTATGTGGAGTAGCTGGATGCCACCACGGATGTGAGGACACACAGGGTGGACAGAAGGGTGGTGAACCAAAGGGTCCTCTCGAGAAGGTTCGCAGAGTCCAAGTGCCCACTGAACCGTGACAAAGAGCTTTGTTGGTGGCACTGAAGACATGAAGACTGACACCTGAGAGCTCAGGTGGCGGCCAGGAGAGGAGCTTCGCTTTCGTGCACGCCGTGACTGGCCAAAGCAGCTCTGGAAATGGAAGCTGTTGCTATTGAAGAGGAGTTTGTGGGTGGTGACAACCTTGGCCGCGTGGCTTTGGTGGATGGTCTGATAACAGTGAGGGCAGGTTTGGATGGGGGAGCTACAATTACAACAGATCTTCAGGTTTGGGACCCAAGAAGAGAGGAAACTGAAGCAGAAACTGAGGCCACAGTCATCAGTGGCTTTCACAGCAGGAGAGGCAGCTGCAGCTGTGGCCAGAGTTTCTCACTGCAGGAAACAAAGCATGGCTGGAGAGGAGAGTGGGAAAGTGGCAGGGAACCCCCACCTCTCCCCGAGTGACTCTGAGCTGGTCTTGCTGCTGCAAAGGCAGGCAGTCCTCAAGGCCTGCCCTGGGACCCGTGCAGTCTGATGATGGTGCTGAGTAGTCTTTTAATGTGCCCCTCTAAGCTGTACCGTGTGAAGATAGCGTACTCTGAAGCCGTCTTGCTACTCTCCTCCAGCAGTGAGACCTTTAGGATCCTCACGGGGTTCTGCCAGGCTACATTGGGAATTTCATTACAATTGCTTGGATGAAATGTCTTGCCTCCAGAACTCTGGTGCAGTTAAGCTGACAGGTCCTACTGCCGTGTTAGCAAGTTCACCATTGAACAGGTCACGTGAGCATCGCCTACTGAGCCAGGAGCACACACGTAATCCCTGTACCAGGAGGCCTGAAGCAGGAACATCTCAAGCTCTAGATAGCCTGGGGTACTTCCTAAGTACTAGCCTGGGCTATAGTGTAGGACCCCAAAGCAAAGTAATTAAAGGGTCTTGGTACTACCTATGCAGTGACTGCGCTCCATAGGGCCATAGGAAGTTTATAATGTCCATTGAAAAAGGGGCCAATACATAAGGCCCATAGGAAAACAGCCAACCAGAGCCACTGTAGGAATCTTCTGTCCTGCGTATTCTAGCTAGCTCATGTTTCAACATTCTAAATTATTCTTGCCTATCCTATCATGAGGATTGTTATTCTGAGTCTGGTCTGACTCTGACTAAATAGCAATTTTGGGGTCCACCTTCGACTACCTAGAGATGTTCTGTGTCAAGCAAACAAACCTCAGAAATGTACGCCAGGTGTGGTGGTGCCCAGCTGAAATCCCAGCCCTTGTGAGCCAGTGTCAGGAATCCCACCTGCACTGAAGGCCATCCAGGCTACACAGTGAGCTCACCGCCACCCAAAGTGGTCTGTGCTACACAGTTTATGTCAGCGTGACACAAGCTAAAGTCATCTGACAGGAGGGATCATCAGTAGAAAAAAAAGCCTCTTTAAGATCAGGCTACAGGCAAGCATTGCTTTCTTAGTGGTTGATGGGGGAGGGCCCAGCCCATGGTGGGCGGTGCCATCCCTGGGCTGTGGTCTTGGGTTCTATAGGAAAGCAGGCTGAGCAAGCCATGAGGAACAAGCCAGTAAGCAGCTCCCCTCCATGGCCTCTGCATCAGCTCTGCCCCCAGGTTCCAGCCCAGCTTGAGTCCTGTCCTGATTTTCTTCAGTGATGGACTGCCATGTGGAAGTGTAAGCCAGATCAACCCTTTAGTCCCCAGCTCGCCTTTGGTCATGGAGTTTCATCACAGCAATAGAAACCCTAAGACGTGGTCTTATCTTTTCTTGTAAGTGCATTGCTCAGTGGGCAAAGCTTCATACCCAGATGGAAGTAAAAATGTTTAGATCTTTGGCCTCTGCAGTGGCTCCTCCTAAGTAAAGTGCTGGTCAGATAGTTGGGGATGCAGCCACCGCTGTGAGCGGAGCTGGGTGGAGTAGAGGCAGTGCTAGCACCTGCCACTAGAGCAGTGGTTCTCAGCCTGTGGGTTGGGCCCCCTGGGGGGGTCACATAGCAGATATCATTTACATTATGATTCATAACAGTAGCAAGATTACAATTATGAAGTAGCAATGAAAATAATTTTATGGTTGGGGGTCACCACAGCATGAAGAACTGTGTTAGAAGGTTGAGAAACACTGCCATAGGCTGTTACACAGAAAATCCCTGTCTCAAAAAGCCAAAAAAGAAGGTAGGCTGTGTTAGCTCACACCTTTAATCCCAGCACTCAGGAGGCAGAGGCAGGTAGCTTTCTGTGAGTTAGAGGCCAGCCTGGTCTACAAGAGCTAGTTCCAGGACAGGCTCCAAAACTACAGAGAAACCTTGTATTGAAAAACAACAACAAAAAAAAACCCCACCCCCTCCTTAAGGTCTTATCAGGTGAAAATAGTAAGACATTAAGAAGCCTCGCCCCTATTAGCCTGTTTCCTTAAAGGTTTATTTTTTGTGTGTACGAGTACCTGAAAGTATGGAAGCACACACTATGTATGCCTGATGCTCAAGAAGATTCCAGAACTCTCAGATCTCAGAACTGGAGTTCCAAGTGTTTCTGAGCCACCACATGGGTGCTGGGAATTGCACCTGAGTCCTCTGAGAAACAGCCAGTGCTCTTAGCTGCTTCATCTCTCCAGGGCCCAAGGCGAATCTTTTTATCTGCAGCCTCGTACTGTCTCAAGCCAATATTTATCTTCTACCAAGAATAAACAGAATAAGGAAAACACAGACACAGATGTGCACACCTGTAGAGGACAGCTGGCCCCGAGAAACCTTACCTAGGGTCATGGCTCCCACAGCGCAGCCTTGGGCAGCGACCCGCACGTGGATGAGACGATGGGACAGCTTCTCATCTCTTCTGGACTTCAACTTGTAGAGACCGCAGGACAGCACAGCCATAAAAGCTGCCACCCCTGTGAATTTAAACCATGAGTGGCTAAACAGGAGGCAAGTGCACAGGGCAGCTACCCGGAAAACCGGCAGTCAAACTGCAGGCTGTGTGTCCCTCACCTAACACGCTCAGGGCCAGAAGCCAGGCTTGCGGGTGGTGTAGATTTTGGAATATCTGCATTGTGATTTTTGTGATGGACCTAGGTCTCAAAAGCAAACCTGTGTAAGCCTCACACACCTTTTCCACCTGGACTGGAGGTGTTTCCTAGATCTGCAGAGTACCTATGCTTTGATCGTGACTCCTCACGTGACAGCAGGTGCGAACCTTCTCAAGGCATCACGGTGACTCAGATTTTGAAGTATATTAAAATTTTGGATTTCAAATGCTCAACTTGTACCAAAGAGGACATTCAAAAGAGCTATAGCAGAGGACATGCCTAGCATGGCTTGAAGCCTAAGATTGTCCCAAGCATGGCTTAAGGTTGGTGTGGCAGTCCATGTCTGTAACCAGGATGCTGCTGTACAGGGAGGTTAAGGCTAGCCTGGGCTACATGAGACCCTGTGTGCTGGCTAGGTTTTTGTCATCTCGATGCAAGATGGAGTCATCTGGGAAGAGAAACCACTATGGAGAAGATGCCTCATCAGGGCGCCTGTAGGTCTAAGAAAGCAGGCTGAGAAAGTAAAGCAGATCAAGCCAGCGGGCAGCGTGACTTCATCGGGATTGTCCCCGCCTCCAGTCCCTGCCTCGGCTTTCCTCCATAGCAGGCTGCAAGATGAGATGAACCAAATCAACCATTTTTGTCACTGTGTTGCCTTTGGTCATGGTGTTTTATTTTATATGTATATATTTATGTACCACATGTGTTCAGTGCCCACGGAAGCCAGAAAATGACACTGGATGCCCTAGGACTGTAGTTATAGACAGTTGTGAGCTACCATGTAGGTGCTGGGAATTGAACGTGGGTCCTTTGGAAAGGCAGCCAGTGCTCTTAACTGCTGAGCCATCTCTCCAGCCTCTAGACATGGTGTTTTATCACAGCAGTAGAAATTTTACTGAACAATAAACATACTCAAAAATATAGTTTTTAAGAATTTATTTAGAGAGAGAGGAAGAGAGATTGAAGGACTGAATTTGGGTGTATTTGGGAATCTGTTTTTATATTTCCTCTTGCTAGTGCACTGCACATCCCAGGCTAGCCAGTCTGTTCTCCACCTCGCATCTCACATTAGCTTGCTCTTCCTTCCTTTCTTTCTTTCTTTCTTTCTTTCTTTCTTTCATTCATTTCTGTCTTTAAGCTCAAGAGCAATTTTATTAGCGTTTAAAGGAAATCCAAGGGAGGCAGACTGTAAATTTCTTCTGGCTTCCAGGGGCACCAGACGCACGTATAGAAACATACATACCTATGGAAACACCCATACACATAAAAAATTAAAAAATAAACCTAAAAAAATGTTTAAGTAAAAATGTTTTTAAAAACATAGTGTTGTTCTACTCTGGGGTTCTCTGGTCCCCTACTGATTTATCTCTCCATCAGCAGCCACAGTGTCTGGGCCATCCGAGCCAGGAGGCAGAATGCTTCCTTCCGCTTTATCTTAAACAAACAAACCCCAGAACAGAACATGCTGCACACATGTGTAGTGCAGGCGCTTGGGAGGTTGAAGCAGGAGGATCAAGGAGTTAGAGGCCTGCCTGAGTGAGACAGAGAGACTACCTCAAAAAACAAAAGCCCAAAGTCTTGGTGTTAGAATATTTCCCTTGGGGGCTGGAGAGATGGCTCAGTGGTTAAGAGCATTGCCTGCTCTTCCAAAGGACCCGAGTTCGATTCCCAGCAACCACATGGTGGCTCACAACCATCTGTAAAGAGGTCTGGCGCCCTCTTCTAGCCTTCAGGCATACACACAGACAGAAAATTGTATACATAATAAATAAATATAGAATATTTCCCTTTCGTGAGACCTCTAGACTGGTCTCAAGCACTGAAAGATAAACACTGTTTTAGCTGCTGGAGAATTCACGATTTCCATTATGTTACATCTCAGGCTCTAAGCTTGTCTTTTGTGTGTCTATGTATGTGCGTATGTATATGTGCACCTGTGTACACAACATATAGTGGCCAGCAGACAGCCTAAGGTGTCATTCCTCAAGTGCTGTTCACCCTGGCCTGAAACTCACCAAGTAGGTCAGCCTGGCTGGCCATGGAGTCTTGCAGATCTGCTGGCTCCACTCCCCACTGCTGGGACCCAAGTGAGCAGTCTCCATGCCCCTGCCTTTTTATGTGGGTTCCAGAGGTGAAATTCTGGTCCATATCCTTACAAGGCAAGCGCTGTGGTCACAGAAACCTTGTTGGGATTGTAATGGGAATGATATTAAGCCTCTGGATCTATTTGGGGAGACCTCACCTCATTGCTATATTACAATATATAACTAATACTAATTCATGAACATAGTAGGTAGTCTGTTATTTTGCAATTGTCATCATACACATGTTAAATTCATACCTAAGTATTTTCTTTCTGATGTCTATAAATGGATTTCCCCTCTTAAACTATAGGGTCTGTGTATTTGTTCATGGTTTACAGAATGCAGCTAATTCTTATGGGGATAAGAAGTTCTGGTTAATTTTGTTGGCACAGGAGATCCTAGGGATAGGTGATATTCGTAGCCTTCATGGTACGGTCTCTCTTTGGTAGCGTGAAGAAAGAACCAGGGTAAAGGATCACAGTGCTGTGTGTTTTATAGACTCGTTAGTGAAGGCTGAGGGGAATGACTAAAGTACAAGATGTATACACAGCAAAAGGCAAGCCAATAAGAAAGCTACGACAGGGCCAGTGAGATGCTTTGTGGCTCGCGGACTGCTGTTGGGACCCGGCAGCCTGAGCTGAGCTCTGGATGCCACTTAAGGGTGAAAGAAAGCTGTAGCTGTTGTTGTCTTATGGCCTCCACACATGCCACATGCCCTTCCAATCTCTCTCTCTCTCTCTCTCTCTCTCTCTCTCACACACACACACACACACACACACACACACACACTTAGAATAAGACTTAAGGAGGGTGGAGAGATGGATGGCTCGGCAGTTAAAAACACTTTGCTCTCTCAGAGGACCAGGGTCTGGTTCCTGTAGCCCAAATCAGGCAGCTCAGGACTGCCTGAAACTTCAGCTCCAGGGTATCTGACACCTCTTTCTGGTCTCCTGCACCTGCAGGTCACATGTGGTGCATGCACACACGCGCGCGCGTGCACACACACACACACACACACACACTCACATACAGGCATACACATACATATTCACATACACCAGCACATAACACACAGGATTTTTTTAACTCCCTGGGTGGTGGTGGTGGCACATGCCTTTAATCCCAGACAAAAGATAGATGACTCTTTCTTTCTTTCTTTCTTTCTTTTTTATTTTATTTTGATTTTTCGAGACAGGGTTTCTCTGTGTAACAGTCCTGGCTGTCCTGGAACTCACTCTGTAGACAAGGCTGGCCTTGAACTCCCAGAGATCTGCCTGCTTCTGCCTCCCAAGTGTTGGGATTAAAGGCGTGCGCCCGGCTCTAAATTACAATGATCTTAAACTGCTCATGCCTCCTAATGTAGAAATTTCACTTTTGGAATATATTCCAAGAAAACAGCAAAAGTACAGAATATGACACAAAAATACTCATGATTGTATCAATCTGAGGAAAAACTAAAAGCCCTAAATTGCCTGAACTATAATGGTATATTGTGTTTTTATAAATAAAGCTTGCCTGAAGGTCAGTGCAAAGTAGCCGTACTAGACAGCCATAGAGGCCAGGCAGTGATGGCACACACCGGTAATCCCAGCAGCCACACTAGTTAGCCACAGCGGCCGGGTGGTGGTGCACACCTTTAATCAGCACTAGAGAGGAATACAAGACGGGAGGAGACAGCTCTCAGTCTCAATTTCTGGAGGCAGGATTGCCTATTTTCGGTCTGAGGTAGCAGTAAGAGTCAGTGGCTAGCTGCTTTGTTTTTCTGATCTTCAAGTTGAACCCTAGTATCTGTCTCTGGGTTTTTATTATTGGTGCAACACTAAGCAGAAGAGAAACTGTACACTTACAAACTGTTATAAGAAGAGATCTCTGTGAGTTCGAGTCTAGCCTGGTCTACATAGGGAGTTCCAGGTCAGCCAAGGCTACGTAGGGAAGTCCTGTCTCAAAAAATAAGAAGAATCATAGATTTATTTTGATTTATCTCACAGTGCTTCAAATTGGACCCCAGGGCCTACGTGTTTGAGGCAAGCACTCTAGTTCTGGATCCCATCCCAATAAATCATATTTGATGGAAGTGATTTCAGACAATCAATAGAAGTATTTTGTAAATTATCTGTATAACACAGTCCATCCTGTGGCAAAATATTCTGTAACTATTGCTAAAATTACAAAAGCTAAATGAAACTTCAACAATATATACAAACTTTATCCTTATTTGTTTTCTAGCTAAAACCCGACTCTTCCCTTGATCAAGTCCAGTTCTGTCCTCACTAAAAGGTTCTGTCCCTTTGGGAGATCTAAGTCAGTGCCGTTCTGTTCCCAGTGTCTCTGGTCTGCAGGTAATTGAGTTTGGCCAGGAACTTTCATCTTTTGGCATTAGACACACTTCCCGCGAACAGAACACCGTCTCAATGTGTAACAGACGCGGAGGTTAATCTGTCATTACTGGGGTTAAGGAGCTTGTTTTTCCTTCTGTCATCTCCCTCTTTTGAGGCAGGGTCTTTCATGCTGGTCTTGAGCTTACTCTGTGTTGACCTTGAACTTCAGTTCTTCCTGAGTGCTGGACTTAGAGTGATCTTCCAACCTGCACTCATCTGTAAGGAGACTTGAACCTAGCGCTGTGCACAAGCTAGGCCAACTCCACCAACTGAGCTGCATCCCAGCCCCCTAGAATCTCAATTCTCAATCATACTTGACGGCGATGTGGGGAAAGCCTGTAACAGCAGATGCCAAGACATCAGTGATGTGCAGAACAGAGACAGGCGGTTCTAGCCCACCCTCGGGATGCTAAACTGCTGCTCCAGTCCTCAGTCAGAAACGTGAGTCTATTCAGGGCGTTCAGTTTGAGTCGGTGTGAACTAATTTTAGATGGACCTCTAGGGGCTGACGAGATGGCCCAGCAGGCAAAGGTGCTTGCTGCTAAGCCTGCTGTTCTAGGTTTGACCCCTGGAACCCACATAGCAGAAGAGAACCAGTCCCCTAAGATTGTCCTTTGACATGCTTGCTGTGGCATGTCTGTGACCGCCCCCCTCCCCCATAAAACAGTAACTATGAAAACATGAGAGAGGCCTGTGATGAAGTGTGTAAAACTCAGTAAAAGGATAACTAAAATCCACTGGCGTGTGAGCTGGAAAGTATCAACCCATGCTGCTGAGGGGCACGCTTCGGAGAATCAGAATGTGCGCGCACAGGCAGAGTCACCCCAGGGAGGCTGAGCTCCTTCTCATCCTGGTTTTCCTACAACCATCGAGGCAGGTACTTACCCACAGGGACGAACGGGGAGTCTCTTGATTTCCTGAGGAGGCGGGACAGCTGGCCTTCATCCTCAGCTGCTGACCACTCGTCTGAAGGCGTACTTCTCTCTAGGGACAGCAGGGACCTGTGTGGTTGCTGCCATATTCCAAGAGCCTGTTTTCCCGCTGCTACGCTGCTCAGAGCCTGTCCTTCCCTCCATCTCACTTATTGCACCTCAATCCCAAACGGAGGGGGAGTATTACAATATATGTGGAGAGAGAACCTGGCGGGCAGAGTCCTTGAGTACAGCACCTCGGTCCCCATCCAGTCCCCTTTCCCAGTGTGACATTTGAAGTCTCCTGGGACCCCAAGACTTCTCCCCAGATACCAAGACCACAGGCTTTCTCTTACAATGATGTCACCAGCACAGGCAAAACTAGTCTTCTGATGTACAGGAGATGGGGGTAAAAGTCTTCTGGGGTCCAGCGGATAGGGCAACCTCTCTGTACTATGTGCAGTACGAAGACAACTGCTCAGACATGTACTGAGCACCCCTAGTGCCAGGCCAGGCAGCGAGAAGTGACTGTCCTCATCTGCCAGGGATTAATGAAGACTCAGAGACAACTGAATTGCAACAGACTGAGTGGTCCAGCCTGGTGTGTGCACAGCCCACCTTTACACGTGAACACACACGCAGCGCATGGTATTCCAGCCTGGTGTGTGCACAGCCCACCTTTACACGTGAACACACACGCAGCGCATGGTATTCCAGCCTGGTGTGTGCACAGCCCACCTTTACACGTGAACACACACGCAGCGCATGGTATTCCAGCCTGGTGTGTGCACAGCCCACCTTTACACGTGAACACACACGCAGCGCATAGTATTCAAACACAGTAGCTCCACTTTATGGATGAAATTTCAACAGAAAATCAAACCCAGCAAGAGGCACCATACCTGCACGTGCTGGAGCCCAGCCCCACTGCTTGCTGACTCCTGCAGGGCCTGAGCAGCACAGGTCTAAGGCTGCCACACATCCCTGTGATTTCCAGCTAATTGATGATCACAGGAAAACAGACAACCCTGAGGGAGTAGCCAGCTGGCATTGGCTGAGGTCTCCCATCGTCCTGCTGAAGACCCAGAAGCAGCAGCAGCTGCCACTAATGTCAGGCTTTGGAAGCTTCTAGGTTTCATTTGCTTTTTTGAGACAGGGTCTAATGCTATAGATAGTCTTGACTGTCCTGGAACTCGCTCTGTAGCCCAGGCTGGCCTTGAACTCAGGGATCCACTTGCTTCTGCCTCGTGGGTGCTGGGGTTAAAGTTGTGTGCCACCACACCCAGCTAGAAGAAAGTCCGACTGTTCAGGGGGCTCCTGGGGCCTCTGTGACTGTGACTCTTAGATATCCCTGCCCAGGACTGAAGGGAAGGAAAATGTGGGGGTACTTTCGGGGAAATGCCATCCAAAGCCAAGATCCAATTCCTAGTTTAGGAATCCGGCACAGTTCTGACCCTGGGCTGGATGGAAGGACCCAGCAGATAGGAACAAAAGAGCACTTAGCACAGAACAGCTGGGGCTTGCAGCTCAGCCGAGGAGCGCTTGCCTCGCATGCATGAAGCCCTAGATCCAATGCCAAGCACAAAATAAAACAGCAGCTCACGGAAACATGAATGATAGGAGCAAAAAAAAATGTCTTCCGATGATCAAAAATCAGATGGACAGCAGCTGAGGATGAAGCCAATTATCCTGACTCCAAGGGTTCTAGAAGCCCCTTTGCCTCAGTAGAGGCACCTGCAGGAGGCGTCCCCCCTGCAGCCTGCACAGACACTCGAGTCCACGAACAGCCCTTAAGAAGGACCTCTGCCTCTCGGCCAATCCAGAGGCGGGGTGGGAAGCAGCGCAGGCCCTGACTGCCGGCCAGAAGATAACTTGCGCCCCAGGCCGTGAGCGAGCACCCTGTCCTGGCTTCTGTTGTGCCGGACTCTTGAGTCTGCAGAGATCTCCCCGTCCTGTCTGCACCTTCTCCAGCTCCAGCTCCACCCATCTTAGCGTGGAGGCCTTCGACCAAGGAGAGTTCACGTGGTTTTTTTCCCCTTACACCTTTTAACCGGAAGTCTGGCTTGTGTTCCCTCGCTCTCTTCCTCTTCTCTGATAAGCTGCATACTGTTTCCCCTTGCTATGCTTTTCAGGTGCATTTGGGACATTCACATGCATAACTAATGCAATAGAAGAAACTCACATTTTGTCAACTATCTAGCAAAAAAAAAAAAAAAAAAAAAAAAAAAAAAAAAGATGGCTGGGTGGTGGCATGCCCTTAGACCCCAGGCACTTGGGAGGCAGAGGCAGGCAGATTTCTGTGAGTTCAAGGCCAGCCTGATCTACAAGAGCTAACTCCAGGACAGCTAGGACTGCTAGACAGAAAAACCCTATCTCAGAAAACAAAAAATTGGCTTGCACTTTTTATTGCATTTCTCTGTCTTTGGGGGGCGAGGAGCACACCTGTAGAGGATCAAGGACAACCTGTGGGAACTGGGGCCACTTCCACCATGGGGATCCTAGGACTCGAACTCAGACCACCAGGCTTGGCAGCAAGCACTTTACTGGTTGTACCAGCCCATGTGGAGTTTTCTCTAGGATCCAGTCATGTGGCTTGTCATGTCCTCGTGACAGAGAGAATGCCATAGCTGACTTTAACTTTCATGACCCTGATATTTTTGCCTTTTCCCTTCACGGTTCTGTGAAGCAAAGTTGTGGCCTAGGGCGTGCAACCATCCCAGCCTCCAAGCTGGTTATTTTGTAGGATTCGAGCGTGGTTGCCCTGTTTTCTCCTTAGGCTTAGATCTAACATGTTAGGCAGACTGTGTTGTGTGATGTCAAGAGACACCACCTGAAAACAGTTCCCCCATTCAGGTCTGTGCTCTTAGCTGTTCACTGCCCTGGTGGGGGTGGCAGTGGGGCTAACCTGTAACCTTTGCCAACCTCTATGGTGTAAACAGGCCAATTTCAAGCTAGTGTCTGTGACCGTGTAACTTGAAGTAGGGAAGTATTTCTCTCCTCTGCTGGGGTTGAGACAGGGTAGAAAGACAGAAAAAGAGAAAGGGACCTCACCCTAGAGCCAAAGTCTCTTGCCAGCTGAGAATCCAGAGGCCCAGGACTTAAAGCTTGCTATGAGGCTGGATCACACAGAGACATTATTCCTTTATTATTCCTTTATACAGAGATGGTTTCAAGTGAGAAAGTTAAATGTCAGTGACACACGTGTCATGGAAGACCTTTGAGTGTGGCCTTGCCCTTTTCCCAGCTGTAATCCAGGTAGCCTCTAGGAATTACTAGCTAAACTTTAGAAGTTTTGTTTACAATAAAACACCTTGTATTCTCACTTAAGTTCCTCAGGAACACTTGAGCAGCAACTCGAGGGCCCTAGAGGGCCCTACGGTAGGATATGCTCCTGGGACTCCGGGGGAGCCCCCGCCTCTCCCTCACACCCAGGTGTGACTGATTCTTCCCTGTGCTTCTCTCAACTTCCAGGTGTAACTGTTAGCAATCCCTAACAAACTCAGCTCTGCTCTATCCTGGCTCTTCATAGAATTCTTTTGGGGCAAACTTAATGACCTGGTTTTGCCATGCTGGAGGTTCCCAAAGCATAGGGGGACTGCTCAGACTGCTGGTGGCAGTGTGGGCTGTGTCTTCTGCCACACGACGCTTCCACCATGTTGGTTAAAGTCTGCCAGCTGCTCCACTATGACATTACTATTTTTTATTTGTAATTAAAAAAATAATAGATAATCTAATGTTATATAAGCATCTTGATATTTATTATACCTTAACCCATTAATTTCAGTACATAGTAATAATGGTTGCCTGGTGATGAACTTGAACTCTGTCTAGTAACATTGTGAAGAGAATTTTGGTAAACAACCTAATAAGTGTTTAATTCTGTAAAAACCAACTAAAACTGGACACTTCTCAGAGGTAAGGGGACAGCATGGCCGGAGTCATACCTTTTGATGTGTAAAACATTATAAATGGAACAATTCCACCAAATGGAAAAATGTAGCCAGGCAGTAGTGGCGCACGCCTTTTATCTCAGCACTCGGGAGGGAGAGGCAGGTGGATCTGAATTCCAGCAAGCCTGGTCTACAGAGTGAGTTCCAAGACAGCCAGGGCTACACAGAGAAACCCTGCCTCGAAAAGAAAAAAAAACAACAGCAAACTATAACCAAAATCTGTCTAGATGGATAATGGTGATCCCAAGCAGATGTGTTTAGTTAACACATCACTGTCTGCCAATCAGGAATCTTGCTCTAATAATTGACTATAGAGATTAAAAAAGAAAAATGAATTTAACATCTTTTTTTTTTTTTTTTACAGCTTGTAGGAACTTTATTTTCCTTCCACCTTTTTTCCCTTTGCTCAGGTAACTGCAGAGGAGCTCAGGACCACTCAGTGGTGGCTCCAACCCACTCGGTGGCCTGCGCTGTGGGAGCTGCTGACCAATCCTCAGTGGTTGGCTGGGCACTCCAGTCTTCAGTAGGGAACTGCTGGATGGGCACCGAGGGCACCTGCACCCCCTCAGACCAGTCAGCCACCTCTGGCTGAGCAGCAGTGAACTCAGGAGCTGGTGCAGTCCATTCGCCCTGAAACTCCTCCTTGGTCACGGCCTTCTCAGCCGCAGCCTGTTCTTCCTTCTCAATCTCCTCTGGGTCTCTGTAGAAGTAAAGATCAGGCATAACCTCCCATGGGTGCTCACGGGAGATAGTGCCACGCATGCGGAGTGCTTCACGGGCCAGCATCCACCACATCAGGCCCACTGAGTGAGCTCCCTTGTTGTTGCACGGGATGGCGATGCCCACAGAGCGCAGAGGTGAGTCTGTGTTACACAGGGCAATGGTGGGCAGGTTCACGTAAGACGCCTCTGTGAGGGGCAGGTGGTCAGCCCTGGGATCGGTCACCACTAGAAGCCGTGGCTCCCTGAAGGCTGCCTGGATCTGGTTAGTGAAGGTCCCTGGGGTGAAACGGCCAGCAATCGGAGTGGCTCCAGTGGCGGCAGCAAACTTCAGCACGGCTCGCTGCCCAGTGTTCCTGGAGGAGATGACGCTGACATCAGCGGGGTTCTCGATGGCAACAATAGCCCGAGCTGCAAGCAGCAGCTTCTCCCAGGTCCTCTTCAGATTGATGATGTAGATGCCATCGCTTTTCCTTTTGTAGATGTACTGCTCCATCTGGAAGTCGAGGTTGGTGCCACCTAAGTGGGTGCCTGCAGCGAGGAATTTGAGGACATCCTCCTCCTTCATCTGCAGGACATCAAGGGCTCCGGACATTGTGTAAGTTTCCCTTTAAGTTACGTCGGGAACCAAGAACAACGCCGTATGGACCCGCCCCGGGGCAGCGCGGAAAAGCTGAATTTAACATCTTTAAAGATCTGACAATACTTGGTTTAGTCCCTAATAACACACTCACACACACTCTGGCACGCTCTCACGTGTGCACGCGCACAGACACTGACACACTCACACAACACAACAAAGCAGCAGCAGCAGCAGCACGAACGCGACAGTAAACGGGAGAGGACTTGGAGGGAGACGCAGAAGTGAGGGTGGGCAGGCGCCTTGGCTTTATGGGAAGGAAGGAGTGGGTTGAGGACCGAGGGGAAGGCAGGCTCCAGGCCAGCCTTGTGTCCTTAGGCCCGGACAGGGGATGTGTCTTGTCCAGTCTACTCTGGGACTCTTCTGCCCCTCTGTGAAAGGACTGCTGACGTCATTGCTGAGGGGTAATGATGCAGGCCAATTGACTTTGGTAGCAAGTGATGACAATTTAGGCACTGAAAGTCTGACTCTGGCTTTTAACTTTCCCTTGAGAAGAAACAGGAAGCAAGGACTGGGGTCATTTGTACAAAGGGCAACTGCTATAGAGACATTTAAGGCGAGTGCTCCATCAGCAAGAAGCCAGTGACAGAGTCAGCTGACAGCACACGTCTGTGACCTTAGCACTCAGCACAGCTAGTCTGGGCCCGAGGGTGAGAGAACATGACTCAAAAGAAGCAAAAAGTGGGGTGTGTGGGTGGGGTGAGAGGCACAGCGGCTAACAGCACTTGTTGCTGCCGTGGAACCTGTACTGGGGACACCCTCACATGTGGCACACAGATGGGACCAGTCATGGTAGCGGTCTTTTAATGCCTGTGCTCGGGAGGCAGAGGCAGGTGGATCTCTGAGTTTCAGGCCAGCCTGGGACACACAGGGAGACCTGGTCTCAGAAATACATACATAAATACAAGTTTTTAATACACAGAAGGAAGTGAGTGAGGAAGGATGGGAGCGAGGGAGGAGGTAAGCGGAGAAGGTGCAGCGGCTTGCGGGAGGCTCAGCCCCCAGGTGTCACACAGGGGTTTCAGAAAGGCTTCCGCAGTGTTTAGGAGTGTTGGAGAACTAACAGATGAAGAGACAGTGTGGCACCCCAGACAGGGAACGCAGATTTGTAGGAAGACAGTGTGGGGGGCCACGATGGGAGCAGAAGCTGAGGAATGGGGCTGTGGCGGTCAGAGCTGTGCCCCAGCCCCACAGTGTCGGAGCCTGCCTTTCCATCTCAACGCTTTTATTTGGGGGCTGAGGGCTGAATTCAGGGTCTTTCCCCACTATCATTGCTGTGTCCTCTTTACCTGTGCATTGTGTCCAACTGTGGACCTTAGGGAATTGTGTGTTCTAGACAAGTGTTCTACTGCTGAGCTACATCCCTAGCCCTGACTTTGTGATTTATTTAATGTTTAATTAACTTTCTATTGCATTTATTTTATTTTGTGTGTGAGAGTTTTAAATGTATACATGTCTGTGCAGCAATGGCAGTCAGAAAAAGGACATCAGATTTCTCAGAACTGGAGTTTCATATGGTTGGGAGCTGCCATGTGGGTGCTAGGAACTGAACACTGGTCCTCTGCACGAGCAACAAGAGCTCCAAAGTGCTGAGATGTCTCTCTAAGCCATTCCACACACATGTGTAGGTCAGAGGTGAACTTGTAGGTATGGGCGCCAGAGGCTGAAGAGGTCACCA